ACCATTTTTTTGTGCCTAGTTTAGTTCATTTAGGGTCTGTCAGTACCAGCTACTATTATTTGGTTTTGTATGTACACAGAAAATATTCATCATTAATTTAGGTAGGTTTCATCTACGCACTTAACTCTAAGAGCTTCTTTGTAAGTAATGAGTATCCAAATAAGTTTCCCCACTACAACACAGTTTCATATCGTGCAAATTTTTACGTTCAACCCCCTCCACCATTTTTTTAGTTTGACGGACTCTATCCCATGCGACCAATGTTACTTTACTTTTCTCTTTTGGGATACTCCAAAATAAATCTATACACTTTCTATCCACCTCCTTAACCACAATTTGAAGAACGATAAATACATAAACCAAATATTTGTGCACTAAGAATAACATATATGTTATTTCTAAATCATGAGTTATATAAATCACAATAATTAAAAATTAAAAACATATTAAAATCAAGTGACTTTCGAAATTTAGCGTATGTCACACAAATAAAGGCATAGAGAGTAACATATAAATTTAATAAGATTATGTCAATAGTCCTATAAATTAGTATAATTAACAACTCAAAATATTTTAAATCTAAGTAGGAGTTAAATGAACTCTCTTGGTTTCATTTGTAACATATAAGTCGAAACAAATAAAATAGAGTATATTGACTTTCTACTTGCATATGAATAATATGACAATAGTTGATTTCTGTACAAGCCCACTATATTTTAAAGGTAAATGATTTACGTTTTTTCCATCCAAGTTGTATCATCTATTTTTACACTACTTTTGAATCTAAATGATTTCGATTTTTCAATTCCAGCACATCACTTCTTGTTGAAGTAGAGGACATAAAATCTTACAAACATTACTCAAATTGACCATATAATCCAAAAATGGAAAAACTATGAATGTGCCTACTCAAAATCAAATAAAGTTATCTAGAATAAAATTAAAAATGTCCATCTTAAAAGCTCAATAATCTATTAAAGGGAAATTCTAAGATACTTTAATGGAAAAAATATAACTCATGTACCTTTGAAATTGGAAAAAATTAAAAAAAAAGTATAACCTATGGTGAGGAAAATGTAATTCATGTATCATTAAAATCGAGTAATAATATATTTCAAGGATTGTAAATCTCTAAACAAAATACATAATAGGAAATTCATTTATATACTTTGAATAACCATGCAATAAAAATCAATATTATCACCTATAAAGTGAGCAAATTTCTTCACCAAATTTCTCAAACCTATTGTGTCAATCCATCTTCATTCACCAAACCAATTTTTAATGACACAAATTAATATTGTGCGCCAAGAAAAGACTCAACAAAAGGTGATAGTATATAAAAGTAAAATGCTTGGTAGCTTTCAAAAAGATATGAGCAAGTGTTGTCGAAGAAGCACACAAATTTTCTATTAAAACAGGATCACATGTTGCTATTGTGGCTTATTCCCCGGGTTCCACACCATTTATTTATGATTCCTCCAACATCTTTGAAATAATAAAAAAGATCCTCAATCGTGTGAAGGCTTTTGTAGTCAAAGGGGGTCATTGATTTGTTTGCCTTTAGAAAAGGGTTTATCTATTTCCATTTATCTTATTTATTATTAGTTAAGAGAAATTATCACCTACTTTATGAGTGATCATTTCTCGTAACTAATACTAAAAAAGATCAAGCAAGTAGAGAAATCCTTGTTTAAAGACATTTAAATCAATGACCCCATTTGACCGCAGAAGCCTTCACATCATTGAGGAACTTATTTATGGTGTCAAAGCTGCTCGAGGAATTGTAAACATATGGTACACCACCCTGGGATTAAGCAACAATAGCAACATGTGATCCTTTATAAATAGAAAGGTCGTGTATTTCCTTGACAACACTTGCCCATAGCTTTTTGAAAGTTACAAAGAGTTTTCCTATAGATAATATGACCTTATGTTGAGTCTTCTGTCGGTGCATTATCTGAATTTGTGCTATTACAAAAGTGTTTGTGAATTAATATGGCTTGAAATAATAAATTAGATAAGCTTTGTCAAGAAATTTGCCCACTATATAAGTGATGATGTTTGTTTTTATTTCGTGGTTAAGTTAAGTCTATATATGAATTTCTTGTTATTTTTTTTCTTTGAGATTTGCAATCTATAAAATATATTTTGAATCCAATTTTAAAAATACATGAGTTATGCTTTTTACATTCATCTTCCAATTTTAATTTTTTTTATAGTTTAAAGGTACACGAGTTACATTTTTTCCGTTAAAGATTTATAATTTTCTTTTAATATACTACTCTGCTTTAAAGATAGGATATTCTTAATCATATTCTTAAAACTTTATTTAATTTTGAGTAGGCACGGTCGTAATTTTTCCTTTTTTTTGAATTATATGGATAATTTTAGTGATATTTGTTGGATTTAACGACCACTAATAAATATGAACTGATGTGCTACAATGGAAAAATGTATGCATTTAGAAGAAGAGAAATATTAGATTATATATCTAGGATAAAAAAACCTCGTAAATCGTTTACCTTTAAATGGTGTTCGTTGGTTTTGATGGGCAAATGTTAAGCATTTTCAAATTCAAACGAGGTCCAAAGCAAGAAATATTTTTTACCCATTTTATTGTGTATACTAGCATATGTATCAGACACCTTGGACCACCAAAAATATGTTTCTCAAAAAACATAATGAGTGTGATCACACTGTTTATTTGTCCAATTTTTTTTGTGGATAACCGTGACGACATTATTAATGATTTGACTTAGTTCGGAATGGAAAACGTGTCTATTTCAAGTCCAAATGAGACCCAGAATGGGATATACTAAATTTCTCATTTTACCTTTGCTTAAGTCCATGGATTTTGGGTTATAGATCGTGACTTGGTTTCAGAAAAATTTTAGATTGTCGTTCGTGACGACCATATTAATGGTGTGGTTGGTCCATAGGGGATAACTTATATATTTTCAGGTTCAAACAAAGCTTAAAACGAAAAATACCAAATTTCTATATTTTGGCAATAAACTATGAACATTTATTACCGGCAACTAAACTATTTATATTTAGGGTCTGACTCATCGAATATCCTAAATCAAATTTCAAAGTGTATCTGTGTTGTTGATATCATTTTTTTGTACCTAGTTTAGTTTATTTAGGGTCTGTCAGTACCAGCTACTATCATTTGGTTTTGTATGTACACAGAAAATATTCATCATTATTTTAGGTAGGTTTCATCTACGCACTTAACTCTAAGAACTTCTTTCTAAGTAATGAGTACCCAAATAAGTTTCCCCACTACAACATAGTTTCATATCGTGCAACTTTTTACGTTCAACCCCCTTCCCCATTTTTTTAGTTTGACGGACTCTATTTCATGCGACCAATGTTACTTTACTTTTGTCTTTTGGGATACTCCAAAATAAATCTATACACTTTCTATCCACCTCCTTAACCACAATTTGAAGAACAATAGATACATAAACCAAATATTTGTGCACTAAGAATAACATATATGTTATTTCTAAATCATGAGTTATATAAATCACAATAATTAAAAATTAAAAACATATTAAAATCAAGTGACTTTCGAAATTTAGCGTATGTCTCACAAATTAAGGAACAAAGAGTAACATATAAATTCAATAAGATTATGTCAATAGTCCTATAAATTAGTATAATTAACAACTCAAAATATTTTAAATCTATGTAGGAATTAAATGCACTCTCTTGGTTTCATTTGTAACATGTAAATCGAAACAAATAGAATAGAGTATATTGACTTTCTACTTGCATATGAATAATATGACAATAGTTGATTTCTGAACAAGCCCACTGTATTTTAAAGGTAAATGATTTACGTTTTTTCCATCCAAGTTGTATCATCTATTTTTACACTATTTTTGAATCTACATGATTTCGGTTTTTGAATTCCAGCACATCACTTCTTGTTGAAGTAGAGGACATAAAATCGTACAAATATTACTCAAATTGACCATATAATCCAAAAATGAAAAAATTATGAATGTGCCTACTCCAAATCAGATAAAATTATCTAGAATAAAATTAAAAATGTCCATCTTAAAAGCTCAATAATCTATTAAAGGGAAATTCTAAGATACTTTAATGGAAAAAATATAACTCATGTACCTTTAAAATTGGAAAAAATTAAATAAAAGATAACTTATTGGGGAGGAAAATGTAACTCATTTATCATTAAAATCGAGTCAAAATATATTTAAAGGATTGTAAATCTCTAAACAAAATACGTAATAGGAAATTCATTTATGTACTTTGAATAATCATGGAATAAAAATCAATATCATCACCTATAAAGTGAGCAAGTTTCTGTTAGTTTTAATAATTCAGTTTAGTATATTAGAGTTCTGTTAGAAAATAAATTCTTATCTTTTTTGTTTGTCCTAGTCTTTTGGAAGTAGTTTAAACGTGGGTTATTACCTAGTTTTTAGGAGAAAGTCTTGTTGGATATTTACTATATTTTAGCTTAACGTTTACTATGTTTTTGCTTATTAGAATGACTGCATTGTAGTTTTTTTCAGTCAATAAAAAAATTCTTTTCTATTAGTCCTCTCTTCTTCTCCATTGTGTTTTACTCACATAACAATATATCTTTGGAATTTGTTTCTTTCTTATCAGTGGCATCTGAGCTGCAGGTGAGTTTCAAAAAGAAAACAAAGAGAGATATTGTGAGTTTATGGCTTTAGAGAGCTACTTCATGCAAGCAGCCATTCCTCGTTTTGATGGTCATTATGACCTTTGGAGTATTCTGATTGGAAAATTTTTTACGGTCAAAAGAGTATTGGCAAATTATCGAGGATGACATCGGCGCTCCAACGGAAGTCGAGGCTTTGACGAATGCTCAAAAGATGGAGTTCGAAGCAAGAAAGTTGAAAGATTTGAAGGCAAAAAATTACCTCTTTCAAGCTATTGAGCGTCCTATCTCGGAAACTATTCTTTCTAAAGAAACTTCCAAGGATATATGGGACTCCATGAGAAAGAAATATCAAGGTACTGCTAGTGTGAAGCGCGCACAACTTCAAGCCTTGAGAAGGGATTTTGAGACTTTGCAGATGAAGGAAGGAGAGTCTGTAATGAGTTACTGTGCTAGAACGATGGAGACTAGCAACAAAATGCGATTCCATGGAGAGAAGATGAACGATGTCACAATTGTTGAAAAGATATTGCACTTTTTAACGCCGAAGTATGATTATGTTGTTTGCTCCATTGAGGATTCAAAAGATATAGATGAGTTATCGCTTGATGAATTGCAAAGCTCCTTATTGGTACATGAACAGAAGATGAATCGAAATTCAACTTCTGAGGAGCAGGCCTTGAAGGCTTCTACTTTTATTTCTTCTAATTCTAGAGGAAGGGGTAGACGTAGAGGTAGAGGAAGAGGAAGAGGAAGAGGAAGAGCAGATCGTGGAAATAGAGACGGAGGCAACAAAGAAGGCTGTGGAAATTTTAGAGGTAATGACTACAGTAATGGCAGAGGAAGGGATTTCGATAAATCCAAGGTAGAATGTTATCATTGTCATAAATTTGGTCATTATCGTTCTGATTGTTATACTAGGCTGCCTGATGAGAAACAAGAGAAGTCAAATTTCGTTGAGAACAAAGAAGGAGAAACTTTGTTAATGGCAATTCATGTTGAAAAAGAGCCTGACCAACAAGCTCTTTAGTATGTGGATACCAGTTGTAGTAACCACATGACGGGAAGTAAGTCTTCTTTTACTTATTTAAATGAAATCTTCCGATCGACAGTTAGTTTTGGTGATCTATCTACTGTGAATGTGATGGGAAAGGGTAATATAAATTTTAGAACCAAAAATGGGTGTGTGGAGATCATATCTAATGTGTTCTATGTTCCAGCTTTGAAAAGCAATTTGCTGAGTGTCGGTCAACTGTTAGAAAAAGGATATGTCATCATCTTAAGGAATGATGCATGTGAAATTTCTGATTCTTCTAAAGGAATTATTGCTATTGTGAAAATGAGTCAAAATAGGTTGTTTCCTTTGAAGATTGAAAATGTTCATTCTTGTTCTATGGCAGATGTGAAAAACCCAATCATGGTTGTGGCATTTTCGATATGGTCACTTGAACTTTGGTGGCTTGAAGATCCTTCAAAGGAAGAGTATGGTGACGGGGCTTCCTGAAATTGTTGTTCCCTGCGAAGTGTGTGAAGAATGTGTTGTTGGCAAACAACATTTTGTTCTCAGTTTTCGAAAAGTAAGTCACGGATAGCCAAAGAGGTATTGGGGTTGGTACACTCAGATATTTGCGGGCCAATAACGTCGATCTCGAATGGAGGTAAAAAGTATTTTATTACTTTTATTGATAATTATTCCAGGAAGACTTGGGTGTATATTCTGCAAGAAAAGTTGGAGGCCTTTAATGTATTTAAAATCTTCAAAGCTCGTGTGGAGAATGAGACTGGAAGGACTGTTAAGAACCTTCGGATAGATCGCGGAGGAGAATATTGCTCTAAGGTATTTGTTGATTTTTATGAGACTAGTGGCATTCATAAAGAGCTCACAACAACATATACACCGCAACAAAACAGTGTGGTAGAGAGGAAGAATAGAACTATTCTCAATATGGTTCGTAGCTTGCTGGCTCGGGGAAGAGTTCCAAAGGAATTTTGGCTGGAAGCAGTGAATTGGAGCATTCACATCTTGAATAGATGTCCCACTTTTGCTCTTCGAGATGTTACACCTGAGGAAGCTTGGAGCGGAAGGAAACCGACAGTAGACCACTTTAAAATTTTTGGGTCCATTTCTTATGCACATGTCCTAGAAGCAAAAAGAAAGAAGCTTGACGATAGAGGTGAGAGATGTGTTTTTATTGGTGTTAGCGACACATCCAAGGCGTACAAGCTGTTCAATCCTTTGACAAAGAAAGTTGTGACCAACAGAGATGTCATTTTTGATGAACAAAACACTTGGGAATGGAGTATGGAGAAGTCTACTCCAATTGTGTCTGATACTGGAGCCGAAGAAGTAGCTGCGATGCCCGAAAGTGCAGAGAATTCAGCTTCTACAACTGTTGAAATTCTACCAGCTGTTGCTGAAATTTCACCAACTGCTGAAACTGTACCAGCAACTTTAGAAGAAACTGATGCAGCTGAACAGCCTCTTCGTCGTGCTCGCCGAAGGCCCGCGTGGATGACGGATTATAAGGTAACAGGAATTGATGTTAATGAAGATGTTTCCCATTTTGCATTGTTTGCAAATTGCGATCCTACAACTTTGGAGAATGCTGTCACAAAGGAGAAATGGAGGAAAACTATGGATGATGAGATTGATTCTATTGAAAGAAATGGAACCTGGGAGTTATCATATCTTCCGAAGGGGAAGAAAACCATTGGTGTCAAGTGGGTCTATAAGACAAAATTGAAAGAAGATGGTGAAATTGACAAGTATAACGAGCGATTGGTGGCTAAGGGATATAAGCAGGAGCATGGTGTGGACTACACTGAAGTGTTTGCTCCAGTCGCAAGGCATGACACCATTAGAATGGTAATTGCCTTGGCGGCACAAAATTTGTGGCCTATCTTTCAATTGGAAGTCAAATCAGCTTTCCTACATGGATACTTGGAGGAAGAGGTATTTATGAAACAACCTTCTGGTTATATTAAAATTGGAGATGAGCATAAGGTATACAAGTTGAAAAAGGCTCTCTATGGACTAAAACAAGCTCCACGAGCTTGGTATAGTCGCATTGAGGCTTACTTTCTAAAAGTTGGTTTCCTGAAATGTCCATATGAGCACTCACTTTTTGTTAAAATTGGAGAATTTGGGAAAATGCTCATTGTGTGTTTATATGTTGATGATCTTTTATTTACCGGGAATGATGGTGCCATGTTTTCTGATTTTAAGAAATCTATGATGGATGAATTTGAGATGTCTGATCTTGGTAAGATGCATTATTTCTTGGTTTTGAAGTAGTGCAATCTAATGATGGTATTTTTGTTTCCCAAAAGAAATATGTGCGGGAAATTTTAAACTGATTCAAGATGAAGCATTGCAATTCCGCCGATACTCCAGTTGAGTTTGGCCTAAATCTAAACAAAGCTGGAAGAGGATCTAAGGTAGACAACACACTCTACAGGCAAATTGTAGGTAATTTGATGTATCTTACTGCAACAAGGCCCGACATCATGTATGGTGTAAGTCTTATAAGCAAGTATATGGAGAGCCCGACGAAAATTCACCTGCTAGCTGCCAAGAGAATCCTTCGCTACTTACAAGGAACTAAGGATTTCGGTTTGTTCTACAAGAAAGGTGAAAAATCTGATTTGATTGGTTTTATTGACAGTGATTATGCAGGTGATCAAGACGACAGAAAAAGCACTTCAAGCTATGTTTTTGTGCTAGGCACAGGGGTTATTTCATGGTCTTCCAGGAAGCAAAAAATTGTCACTTTATCGACTACTAAAGCAGAATTTGTTGTTGCTACAGCCTGTGCTTGTCAAACTATTTGGTTGAGGAAAATTCTTGAAGAACTACAATTCAAACAAAAAGGAGCAACTATAATTTTCTGCGACAACAACTCTGCCATTAAGCTATCGAAAAATCCTGTTCAACATGGAAGAAGCAAGCACATTGAAGTGAAGTATTATTTCCAGCGAGATCTCAATAACGAAGGAACAGTAGAGCTACAGTACTGCCGAAGTGAAGATCAGTTGGCAGAGATTTTTATTAACTAAACCTCTCAGGTCTCTCCCTTTCCAAAAGCTGAGGAGGTTAATAGGCATCAACACAATGGAAGAGTTCAAGAAGCTGAAGTTAAACTGAAGCTTGAGAGCTTTTAGTTCAAGGGAGGGTGTTAGTTTTAATAATTCAGTTTAGTAAATTAGAGTTCTGCTAGAAAATAAATTCTTATCTGTTTTGTATGTCCTAGTCTTTAGGAAGTAGTTTAACCGTGGGTTGTTACCTAGTTTTTAGGAGAAAATCTTGTTGGATATTTACTATATTTTAGCTTAATATTTACTATGTTTTTGCTTATTAAAATGACTGCGTTGCAGTTTTTTTTTCAGCCAATAAAAAAATTCTTTTCTATCAGTCCTCTCTTCTTCTCCATTGTGTTTTACTCACAGAACAATATATTTCTGTAATTTGTTTCTTTCCTATCAATTTGTTCACCAAATATCTCAAAACTATTGTGTCAATCCATCTTCATTCACCAAACCAATTTTTAATGACACAAAATTAATATTGTGCGCCGAGGAAAGACTCAACAGAAGGTGATAGTATATAAAACTAAAATGCTTAGTAGCTTTTAAAAAGATATGAGCAAGTGTTGTCGATGAAGCACACAAATTTTCTATAAAAACAGGAGTACATGTTGCTATTGTGGCTTATTCCCCGGGTTCCACACCATTTATTTATGATTCCTCCAACATCTTTGAAATAATAAATAAGATCCTCAATCATGTGAAGGCTTTTGTAGTCAAAGGGGGTCATTGATTTGTTTGCCTTTAGAAAAGGGTTTATCTATTTCCATTTATCTTATTTATTATTAGTTAAAAGAAATTATCACCTACTTTATGAGTGATCATTTCTCGTAACTAATACTGAATAAAATAAAGCAAGTAGAGAAATCCTTGTTTAAAGACATTTAAATCAATGACCCCATTTGACCGCAGAAGCCTTCACATCATTGAGGAACTTATTTATGGTGTCATAGTTTCTTGAGGAATTGTAAACATATGGTACACCACCCAGGGATTAAGCACCAATAGCAACATGTGATCCTTTATAAATAAAAAGGTCGTGTATTTCCTTGACAACACTTGCCCATAGCTTTTTGAAAGTTACAAAGAGTTTTGCTTTAGATTATATGACCTTATGTAGAGTCTACTGTCGGTGCATAATATGAATTTGTGCTATTACAAAAGTGTTTGTGAATTAATATGGCTTGAAATAATAAGTTAGAGAAGCTTTGTGAAGAAATTTGCGCACTATATAAGTGATGATATTTGTTTTTATTTCGTGGTTAAGTTAAGTCTATATATGAATTTCTTGTTATGTTTTTTCTTTGAGATTTGCAATCTATAAAATATATTTTGAATCCAATTTTAAAAATACATGAGTTATGCTTTTTCCATTCATCTTCCAGTTTTAATTTTTTTTATAGTTTAAAGGTACACGAGTGACATTTTTTCCATTAAAATAGCTTTTATAATTTTCTTTTAATATACTACTCTGCTTTTGTAACGACCTATTTAGTCGTTTTGAGCAGCAAACTTTATTTCTGGAAAAACTGGCAGAAGCGACGGACCCCACGACGAACCGTCATGGGCACGACGGACCGTCGCATGGTCTCGTTTCAAAACACTTAGAAAATCTGAAATTGGGTACTGAAAATCGACTCTCTGAATTTCGTGACGGAATGACAGGACGGACCGTCACAGGCGTAACGGACCGTCATAGATTGTTTAGTGGAAATTGACTCTCTGACCCTTGCGACGACCTGCAGGACGGACCATCGCAGGCACGACGGCCCGTCACAGGTTGCGCAATCCCAGTCTGGGTC